TATTAGCTTACACCTAGTAGACAGAATCTTGCCAGACTAACTCTAACCCCCAACGACAGCAACTAAACACTCCGAATTCCTTAGGGTGGTACTTCTCCTTCTCTTCACTTTCACACGCTCTGGCTGAGGGCTGAGAAGATGCTTGGGATTCCTCTTCCCCTCCCTATAACCTTGGACCTCCTCGCTCATGTCTTCCATCACACATACTGTTGGATTGAGTATAAGGACTAGAAATTGGGAGGGTGCATATTTGCCTTTGAGTCATTCTTGACTCCTGGCAACTACATAGGCAAGTTCATGCAGTTTTCTAGGTAGCATTTTAGTAACATTGTTGTTATGAAACTGCAACAATAATTTACACGTTACACTGAGGTATATACAGTAGATATAGATATATACACTATATGTATAACCTAATTGAATTGAAACCATTAGTTGGCAACATAGCTTTATAGTTCTAAAATTCTTCTACTCCTAAATATATTTTTCATGATAACTTAGATATCACAACTACAGTGCACTTATATTGTGAAAAGATATCTGCCAAAGTATGTAAAGTAATGTTAACAATGATTTTAGTTATCTAAAATTATCAAAAATTAAAACTATTTACCTGGGGTTGTAAAGTATCTTCTCTAAATTAAATTCTTTAAGATACAAGATTACAGCAGCCAAGGAACACAACACTGGATTATCAAATTTTAAAATCTGGGACAATGCTTGGGAACCTGAAAAAAATGTTTTGTCATATTCCAGCATTTAAATTGCAACTTTTTATAAAATCCACTTTGTTAGAGTTATTATAGCTTCCAGCAGCAGTTTGTAGCCAGTTCTCCAAAGTGGCATCTTAATCACCACTACTAAAAATGATTGCTTTACCTACCCTATAGGTCTGCATAGGGTAGCAAGTATCCCACAGTGATATAATAATGATTATTATTATTTATTAAATGTATATGTCACTTGACACCCAGTGGTTTACAAATAGGGCAAAGAAGAATAATAAATTACTGTTTCTATAAACTATATAAAAATATTTTACAACTGTAGCCCTATACCCATTTACCTGTAATTAAGCACCATTGAATTCAATGGAACTTATTTTTAAGTAGACAATAGGACTGCACATTCACACTGGTTTTATTGGCAACTGGAGATAGGTCAGCAATAATCATATTAAATAGTAAGCCTCTATACATTTTGGGGAAGAGCATACTTAGCAATTGTAAGCTTAGCTGCAATAAAGTTTATGGAAGCTGAGGAAATCTATTGGAAACTCCCTTACTTTTCAACTGACTTTATTAGGAGAACTACTAATTTCTCCCTACTATCATCCACAGCTGCTGAGTGCACACAGAACTCAGTGGGTCTTGCATCCTTGATTTCTTTATTGACTGGTTATTAGAAACTGTGCATCATTTTCTGGATTACCAAAGAACTGTGATCTACAAATTTACCTTATCTTGGATTAAGTTTTATTGAACTCATTTATGTATACCTCACTGTAAAATACTAACAAATTAATTTCATATCAAATCTGATTTCTAAAAACATTTCTAAAAAAACATACAGGATTCCTGGTGCTGCTACTTTTTCCAAAAACAAATAAGGATCAACATACTATTCAAATTACTAGTGTAAAGTTGAATTTTTGAATTAACTTTATGTTTTTATTTAAGGCATTTCTAACTAAGAATTAGTTTCTACTGGCTCTAAAGAAACAGGAAACAATAAAATATTTTTCTTCTACTAAAACACTGCTGTACACAAAACATTTAAGAAACATAACTCTATATATTTCTTATATAGAGTTATATATATATATATAGCTCTACAGATATACCTCTTAAAAAGTATTAACTTAGTAATTTAAACAAACATTTTTTGTAAATTATGTCAAGCTAACATGACACAATTAAGTTTTACAAAATAATCAAGTCACCTTTAATATATGCAAACACTAATCAGATAAACCTCTAGGACTTTTTGGATTAGGTACCTGTGCCATCAAGTATTTGACTACCATAGAAATCTGTAATCATCTTAAAAGCACTTCTGTACTCAAAATGTTCCTTTTCCATTCTTTCAATTCGTATTCTGTCATCTTGTAAACTGTAAAAAAACAGGCATTTTCAACTTTATTATGCTGTTACACACAGCTAAACAATAGCAAAAGCTCTCCACATTGTACTTCATTATTCACAAATGCATCAAGATTAACGACTATTTTGCCCAAATAAAACTTTTAAAATCAAGTTGGTTTGAAAGGTGACCTTTCCTAAATGCATTTTGAAAGGATTCACTTTCTACAAATTCAATTCCAGAGAAGCTTGAAAGTTCTGAATTTGGACTTTAAATGTTACTCCCTTTCCTCTAGCTAAGCCCTGCAATATTTACATTTCTAAAAGAATGACATTAAACTGTACTATTATGTTGTTAGTTTGACTAACTTGATGTGAAAGACTCAGGATAGAAACTTTTTGTTACCCAATTTGTTTTCACACCACTGAAATGAAACCCTCTTCTTTAATTTGTAAAATAAATGGTGTCAGATATTAGACTATCTCCCTAAAGGTCCCTTTTCTGACCAGTGCTGACCCCAGCTAGATTTTAGAAGCTAGGACATGCTGAGTTTTGCCATGCCATGTTTGTTATTTTTAGTGATTTAGTGATTTTTAAAGTCATTTTAAATGTTTAGCTTATGTTGAATTCTAAACAGCCCAGAAAATATTTGCTGAAAAATGTATCAGTGCAATCAATGCAAAGCGGGGATTTTGGCTTTCACAATGAGAGATAAAGATTCTTAAACAGCAACTAATTACCGTATTTTTCTGACTATAAGACAATGCTTTTTTCTAAAATCCTCACGCTAAAAATTGAAGGCCGTCTTATGCAAGGAAGTAAGCCGAGGAGAGAACCGCGTGGTTGCAAAATTGCCCATACTTTGTCTCTGCAAACAGGTTTCCTCCAATCACGAGCCTCCAATCACGAGTGA